AAGCCCCAGTAGATAGTTGTATGTCATAGGTTCACATCCCTCTAGTTGCTGTACGTGGGACTCGGCCTCGCGTTGGACGGAGAAGTGGTGCCTCGGGGCACTCCCGGGATCCGAACCCGGGCCGCCAGCATCAGAGTGCGCGCACTTAACCGCTAAGCCACGGAGCCGGCCCTTCCCATCTCCATTCTTAAAATGTGGATGTCGTTTCCTCCTTGGGGACCGTATGTCATCACACCGTGCCTCTCAGCCCACAGCGATCAGAGTGCCAGTCCTCCCCATGGAGGCTTTACGCACTGCTGCTTGAGAATTCCCAGCAGAGCTCCGGACCTGCTTGGCTCCTTGTTTTTGTGACCCTTTGCATCATCGAGTATCTTGTCTTTTTTCTTAGACATTAACGTCCTGTGTCTTTAGATTTCAGATGTGATTTAAGAGGCAGTTCTTTCCCTCAAGGAGCTTCTGTGCTCCCCGCATGAGGTACTTACAGCAGATGATGGGGGTCCTCCTGGTCAGTAGGTGGGAAACCCTGAACTGATGATGAAGCACAGTGGTTTTAAATGTGTTGTCAGAGGCTGTGGCTCAGTCAGTGAGCCAAGGGAGAGGTGTAGGTGGATGAGGCCATTTGTGACGGCCCTGGAATGATGAGGATCCGGGTAGTTGCCAAGGTTGATGAAGGCGCTCAGAACAGTGTGAGGTGGACGGATAAGGCTCCTCAAGTCCCGGTAAGGATCTTTGCTTCCTTAGCATGTGGGCTTCCTGTTCAGAAACAGTGAGAGATGTGAATGGAGGTAAACATTGAGGGTGACTGAAGAGCCCCTGGGGCTCTGCTAAGGTTTGGTGTCATCCTGTGGAGAATTTGAAACCCTTTAATTGGGAAAGTGAGTCATCTGATAGAAAGTCGTCATATATAGAGACTGTTAATGTGAGTGGCATGAAATGCAAGGCCTGGGGTGGGGGAAGGCAGTGAGTCAAGGGGACTCAGGTCTCTAGTGACATGCAGACAGCAAAGGAAAATGACTTGGGGTGTTCCCACTGATCCCAGACCCCACCAGTATGACGGTAGGCTTGGGCTTTTCTTAATCATCAGTGAGGTTGAGTATATTTTCACATATTTAGAAGCTGTTTCTTTTCTTAATTGACTATTTTTAAGAGCAGTTTTAGGTTTACATAAAAATTGAACAGACAATAGAGTTCCCATCTACCCCCCTCAGAGTGTCCACTATTGTTAACATCTTAACATTAGTGTGGTGCGTTGTTTCAATTGATGGATCCGTATTGACACATTATTATCTAAGTCCACAGTTTACATTAGGGTTCACTCTTTGGTAGTATGGTTCAGGTTTGGACAAATGTACAATGACATGTTTCCACCATGACAGTAGTTGCACTGCCCTGAAAGTCCCCCGGTCGCTGCCTATTCATTCCTCCCTTCTCCCTGCCCCCAGCCCCTGACCACCCCTGGTCTTTTTACTGTCTGTATGTTTTTGCCCTTTCCAGAATGTCATAGACTTGGAATCATACAGCATATACCCTCTTCTGACTGGCCCATTTCTACTTTTACGTGAGGTGCCTGTTCACGTCTACTGCCAGGCTTTCTATCACAGTGCTGTTTTGTTTTATTGTGCTTTTCTTCTTGACTTACAGAGTAGTCTTAATTGTTTATACATTTTTCCAGTTTGGGTCATGTTGGTAAACATTTTCTTCCAAGTTTGTCTTTTTACTTTATTTTCTAGCATTACCGTTTAATTCCTTAATATTTTTTAGAAATTGAATACTATGTAGTTTTTAAATTGCTCAAAATGAGCATGCTTGTGTGGATGAGATTCCTAGTTGAAGAGCACCCTCTTCAGTCAGTACTGGAGTACGGCTTCTCTCACGGATCGTCGGTGGTGGGGGGAGGAATTCGTGGTCTGGTGGTTCTCTTTCATGTCCATGGGTTCTTGGTTTTCCCCTTTCTGGCTCTGGGGTACTGCGTCACTTGCTCCACAGGACAGACCACGTGAGTGGTGCACTAAGTTGCTGACTCTCTGGGGACTTGCATGTTGGAGGTTGTCTTTCTCTGTCCCTCGTGTGCAAAGGCCTCTGTTGGCTGGGGAAGGGATGTTGGACGGCAGTCTTTTGGCCCCTGTCAGCTCCCACTGTCTCTGACTGTGGTTTGGGTCCCAGCAGTCTGACATGGGCAGCCGTGACACAGAGCCCGTTTGTTCAAGTCATCTTGAGTCTTCGTTATTTACAATCCTCTGAGGAATACTCTTTTTCTCTGTTTTTACTAATGGAATTCCAGTGCTTAACCCTCCTAGCCATCATGAAAGGAATCTCAGTAATGGGGGAGACTGTGTTCTCCTTCCCCCATTGTAAACCCAGCTATGGGAAAGGGTAGATTGAGATGTTCACAGAAGGATTCTCACTCACATCCAGTGTTCTGGCTTGTGTGAAAATACGTACCCAGTTCTGAGTTCTGTGATTACAAAGCTGCCTCTGGAATGTGACCCATACAGAGTGGTCTTTTAAGACACGCATGTCATGGATTGTTCCCTTGTGTTTTGAAACTAACCTAAAATCCTGCAGTTCTGATTGGTTGTCTTAATTTGTTATCTAGGTCTCTTGAAACCCATTTTCTTCAAGTTTAAAATGCTTGTAAAGCTGCTTGTTTTAAGCTAGAAGAACAGTGCACATTTCCCCTTCTCCCTGTGCATGAAAGTGAACTTGGGCAAGCTACCTAAGCCCATGAGCAAATACAGAATCAGTTTGGAACATCATGGTAGTGCTGTTTTCAAGAAGCAGCAGTGCATGTATTTTATATATATGTGTTACAAATAACAAAAACTCTAATTTTTATTGTGCTGTTATTTTCCTCATAAGGCAGAATGAGAAGCAATTAAAAAATCCCTCAAAATTGCACATTTTTTGAAATTGCAAATGCAAAACCAGAAGTTAATATAAAATGTGCATTATTCTATTTATGCATTAAAATTAGACTACTTCATGCTCTGATCCTCACTCTCTTGCCTTTGGTCATGACTTTTTTTTTTGGTGACAAATAGTGGCCCCGAGCTAACATCTGTTGCCAATCTTCCTCTTTTTGCTTGAGGAACATTGCCGCTGAGCTGACATCTGTGCCAGTCTTCCTCTACTTTGTAGATGGCACGCTGCCACGTTGTGGCTTGATGAGTGGTGTGTAGGTCCTTGCCTAGGATCCGAACCTGCGAGCCCTGGGCCGCTGAAGTGGAGCGCGCAGACTTAATCACTATGCCACTGGGCCGGCTCCTGGTCATGACTCTTAATATATAGGAACTTAATTGAACTACTTCAGTTTTTTTTTTTTTTTTTTTTTTTTTTTTCGTGAGGAAGGTCAGCCCTGAGCTAACATCTGATGCCAGTCCTCCTCTTTCTTTTTTTGCTGTGGAAGACTGGCCCTGGCCTAACATCCGTGCCCATCTTCCTCTACTTTATATGGGATGCTGCCACAGCATGGCTTGACAAGCAGTGTGTCGGTGTGCACCCCGGGATCCTGCAATCCCCGGGCCGCCAAAGCGGAGCACACGCACTTAACCGCTGTGCCATCAGGCTGGCCTCAGACCTACTTGAGTTTTTTGACCCTAAAATAAATCTTTCTTCCCTTCAGTTAGCATTCCTTATTAAGTAATCATTCATTTATTCATTCACAGATCTGGGTGCTCTCCTAGGTACTGAGATTCAAAAAAAAAATTAAATATTCCTTCTCAGGAACATCCCTTAGAATAGTGGGAAAGACACACATAAAAACACATTACATAAGAGCTATAGAATAGAAGCTTGAATGAAATGATAGGTTTATTTTGTGGTATGTTTTTTATAATAAGCATGTACCTGGGATATTTTTAACACGAGATTCTGGTTTAAAATAGAGGTTTTATCACTTCATATTTGTTGTAGTCCTGGATATGTGTGGTCTTATTACTTTTATCTGACTGTTTTAATCTATAACACTCTTATTTATTTGCTTTTCTTTCCTGTATTTTCCTGAATTGATGGCCTTCTTCTCTACATTTCTCTTCTCTTCTTATGAGTGATTTGAAAGTCTTTTGTCCTGTTTTTACCTGTTGTACAATCAGTGTATTGACAGTGATCAAAAGTAGTTGGTTCAGGGGCCAGCCCCGTGGCGTAGCGGTTAAGTGCGCGTGCTCTGCTGTTGACGGCCTGGGTTCAGATCCCAGGCACGCACCGACGCACTGCTTGTCAGGCCATGCTGTGGCAGCGTCCCACGTAAAGTGGAGGAAGATGGGCACAGATGTTAGCTCAGGGCTGGTCTTCCTCAGCAAAAAGAGGAGGATTGGCATGAATGTTAGCTCAGGGCTGATCTTCCTCACAAAAAAAAAAAAAAAAAAAAGTTGTAGGTTCAGCTTGACAGACACTCAACAGGGACCCCACTTGAGGAAATTAACCTGGTTTACTTCTCTGAGAAATAAACAAGGAAGTTACTGCTCAGGAATGCCCAGTGATGTGACATGTGAACGTCTGGACCCCTGATCTTCATCAGGGCAGCCACAGTCATGGGGGGTGATGCCTGAATGAAGTATGGGCAGAGCTTCTAGAAGACTCACTGTTGCCCTCTGAGACAGTATCCTTGCAGGCTGGGCCTGGGGCAGCTCTGCACACAGCTTAGCCTGGATTGGGCAGGAACCACTGCTTCCACCCCAGTCTGTCCCATCAGCAATTGGGCAGTCTCCAACCTGGGCACCCTCAGCCTTCCCAGGCCAGCAAAAGCCTAGACAGGGATGTCCCTGGACATCCCTGCCCCTAGAGCTTGGGAGAATAACAGGCTCAGGTGACCAGGCATCTTAGAGAATCTTACAACAGCCCCCATACTGCACTCTTCCATCATTCCACACAAAAAAACTTAGATTTTTTCAGTCAATGTGAGGAGTTTGTCATTCTCTCAAATGGCCCCTGAGCGTGCCATGGCCTTTTCCCTCACCACCTCCACACACCACTCCTCCCTCCATGTTTTGTTGAAAACATCTGACCCTTCTTGTTTTTAACATACTGATACTGTGTTGTAATCCTTTCTTGGCAATTGCATAAACTTAACAGCCACATTACCTCAGTTATTTAAACTTACTTCTGTGTTTTCTGGTTTATTTCTGTCGTGATTTGGAAAGAGTGCTAAGATAGACAATAGATAGTTAACAGTAATAGTAGGTATCATTGAGAAGTATGTATTGTGTCTAAAGAACTATGGTAAGTGCTTTCTGTGGATTAGCCCATTTAATGCTGGTATTATGTGATGGGTGCCATTATTATCTTTATGTTAGAGGTAATGATACTGAGGGAAACAGTTATAATAACTAATGTGAGTACTTGTGAGTTGGACAAAAAGATCCACATTTAAAGTCTGGTTTTGGCAGTTTCCAGGTCTGTTGTAAGCTGTCTGCCCCTCTTCAGGGATGTGCTCCTCCTTTGCTGGAATGTGTAAATGAGAGGAAAGGGAATTCAGAGGTCCCCAGCTGTGAATTAGGGACAACCGAGCCAAGCTATTACTGACAGTTCTTGTGGCAGGCCATGGTCAGACCTGCTGTAGGCTTACCTCGCAATAAAATACAAAACTGGGATATGTGTTGCTTGGCTTGCTTGTCTCTTTGGTAATTGTGGCCAGTATCGCAGATTGGCTCCTTCTGTAAGCTGCAGGAGGAACAGATTTGGACAGAAACAGCAACTGAATTTTGGGCATGTTGAGTTTGAGATCTGGGATATAATGTGTCTGGAGTTTAGGAGAGAAGTCTGGGCTGGTGATAGAAATTTGGGAAATGTTGATATATAGATGGTAATTAAAGCCATGAGGCCAAATGGGATCACCGTCACACCAGTGAGTACAGACAGCAAAGAGTAAAAGACAAAAACTGAGCCCCGGAGCCCTGTGACTTCAGGGTGACTTGGAGGGGAGGAGGAGCCAGCACAGGAGGCTGAGAAGGAGCGGCCGGGGAGGTCAGAGGAGAACCAACATTGTTAATGTTCTGGAAGAAAAATGAAGGAGCAAAGTGCATTGTGGGTTTCCATGAGTGCCCCTCAGGCCTCTTGAGGACAGGGGCTCTGTCTACTGGTCTTAGTGTCCCCAGCAGCCAAGATGGTTCCTGACTTGCAAGGCGAGTCTAGTGATTTCTTTCTTTGATGTATACTGAATGAACTCATGCAGTATATTTCTGATATGTTTATTTTTCTTCCACAATATGTAACATAAAAAAGGTATACAATGTTCATAACTTTACCAGTGAGCTTGGTAAGCTTTTGTCCCTGTTTGCCTTCTCCATGTCACCCAATTCTGATCATGGTGCCATTACAGGGGCCAGTGTCATTCAAGGACGTGGCCGTGGACTTCACCCAGGAGGAGTGGCAGCAGCTGGACTCTGAGCAGAAGACAACCTACAGGGATGTGATGCTGGAGAACTATAGCCATCTCGTCTCCCTGGGTGAGGACAGCTTGCTTTCTAAGTTGCTAGGCTATATGGGATTTCTCTCGAGTTTACTGACGTTAACTTTGATTTTGATGGGACAAATGTGAGTAATCTGTTTTGGGTGCCAGGCAGGGCATTTTGGTCTTTACCTCCCCAATGAAAGGTTCTAATTTTGATACAGCTCAGATGGGCATTTCTGTCGTGTAGCTCCTCAGGCAGCACTTTCCTCATACGACAGTGAACTGGAAGCCCAGCGGCCAGGCTCAAGTTCTCTTTCATTTCTGTTAACAGGGTGTCACATTATCAAACCGGAAGTTATCATCAAGTTGGAGCAAGGAGAAGAGCCATGGATAGTAGAAGGAGAATTCCTACTTCAGAGTTACCCAGGTGTGTTAGTGGAGGCAGTGAGGAGACTGGTAACTTGGAAGTATTTTTCCCAGGAATTTTTTAATGGTCCCAAACCTTTACAAGTGACTAAAGATGGTTACTTGTATGTTTTAGCTACCTGAATCCCACCCCCAAAGGCTTCTTCCTTCCCCACAAAAACTTATGTTTGTAGAGTTTTCCATGCTTACCTTTACGCAGAAGCCAAATCCAGTCACTGCCTCTTCAGCCTTGGGTCTTGCTCTTGTAGCATTTTCAGGAACCCATTATCATAGATTCCTTTTGTTTTTAGGCACTCATCAGTCTATTACTAAAAAAATAACTTGTGTGACTCTTGTGTTCTTATTACCTTCCTTTTCTCTTCTTCTTCACTGCGAAATGCCTCAGACTTGTTTCTATCCCCAGTTTCACTTTTCATGTCTCTTTCCTTGAGGTCAGATTCTAAAGCCCCAGCCTCTGACTGAGCCAGGCAGTTCAGTTCACCTATGTTGTCCTGGGCACGTTGCTGTCATTGTTCCTGAGATCCAGCCCTTCTTCAGTTTGGTGACAACAGTCACTGCATCTCTCCCCCCAACCACTCATTTTCATCTTGTCTCTCTTATTTACTGTTCTGTCGCCAGCACCTCGAATAATGTCCTGTCACGGTAGGTGCCCAGTAGGTGTGATATACAGAGAGAATTGTGATTCATTTGTCCTCCTGCCCCTTCCAGAAATGTCTCTAAAGGATCTGCTTCCACCTTCGGTGGTTTGTTTGTTTCCAGAGTTCTTCAAAGGGCTCCTCCTGTCTCAGGTCTGTAGGGTTTTTGTCTGTCTGTCTGTTCTGTGCTACAGCATCCACTCTGTCCTCTAGTCCACTGTTTCCTGTAATAGCAGTGCAGCGCTCCTTCATTCTAATGGATTTGCAAGATGTGTTTGTCTGAGATTCCCAGTCAGTCTTATCACTAGTCTCAGGATGAGCCCACAGTCAGTCCCTGTTACTTCCTAAAGGGAATTTAAATTCCTTGTTCTTTAAGAATCACCACAATATTGACCCTATTTTGCCTGGAAAAATTAATTTTCTGTTGTTTCCCAAAACTCTTGCTAAACTCCATTTGGTTCACACTCCTAAATGTCTTCTGATCATGTGATGATCGTCCCTACAGCTTTGCATTTCAGTGGGGCGTGCTTTATTTGCCAAGGTAACACATTAATTAAGTCTGAGCTCAAATTTTCAACCCCTACTTGAAGTTGTCCTTCTGGCTCTTATCATTATTCCAATCTCTTCCTTCTCTCAACTTTGACTCCACCTCATGGTGGAACCTTAAAAAAAGTTAGATCTGATCAAGTAATCTGTTATTTGATAGTATATATTTTTTGCTTGAGCTTCTTTCTTCCCCTGGATCATCATCCTATAAAGACAAAGGCATGTGCTCTTCCCTCACCGTAGTATGTAACATACAGTACACATTTATTTCTTTGATTATCTCAGGAGCCAGGTAGGTGAAAGAACTTCTTGTGCATCCATTCAGAAATAATTTGTAGACAGTTATTTCTAAACATGCATGCCTGGGTGACATCCCCATATGTTCTGCAGGTACTTGAAAGATAACCATATGATTCAGATTAAGAACAGCTTCTCTGATTTCTATTCAGGGGTTCAAAGGAAATAGGAAATAGAGTCATACTTTCTAAGAGAGAGGTTTTGGTTAAGAAAAAAAGAATAGAGCTTCATGGAGTAATTTAAAACTTAGCATTTGACATGGAATGTTAATGTTCCAATGCAAGGCTGAATCATGTTGTGCTAAAATGATTGTTTGGAGAGTAATTATTTTCAACTTTAAGGGGAAATGCAGCTAACTGAGGTGAGAAAGAATTTGAGGAGTAATTTTTTTTAAACATGGAAATTCCCTGAAAGATAGGTTTTGAGTAAATCGAGGCTGGAAGTCAAGCAAACTGGGAAAACGACAGGAGCAGAGACGTGTGGTTGAGCTGGGGCATTGTTGGTACCTCAAAGCCGAGAGTGCCTTAGGTTGTAATGTCTCTCTCCCAACTTGATGTGAGGTGATGTGGTGTGAAGTGCTGATCCACCTCCCCCACAACTAATCTTCCTTGAATATGTCATGTGACCCTCCTTGTCCAACAAATAGCTTGGTTTCCCTGGAGCAGAAGTTATTTTTAGTGGTCTAGCATAATCCTAGTTGGGAATCATATTGTGAATCTAGGTGGTGAAGAGTATTCTTTATCAGATTTTTTCCCCCATTTTATCTGTTGGTGTTTTGGCAGTGGACTCAGGGAAGTTGTAGGTTTTGGTGAACAGGGTTGATATGGTTTCATTTGATGTGGATGATAGCAAGTAAAATAGTCAAGTCCATCCAAAAATTTGTAAGATTAGTAAAAGTAAAGGTGGTATTTTAGGAGCAGATTGAGGAATCTGATTTTTAACGTTTGTACACTAAATGAAACTCAGGAGTGGGGAAGTACTATTCACATTAAGAATTCAGTGACAGTGTATGTCAAAAACAGGACTGTTTTACGGAAATTGTCAGGAGATCGAAAATGCGACAAATGTTTGCTCAACTCATTGAGCATGTATGAACGGCGCTTTATATTAATTTATGTAATCTCACTACAACCCTATAAAGTTGGTACCATTATCTCCATTTTACTGGTGGATGATCCTGAGTCACAGAGGGCAGCTAAATACCTTGCCCTGGGTCGCCTAGCCAGAGTTCACGCTGTATTGTCCAAACAGGAACAAATAGAGTTTCATAGTCAGAATGAGTTGAGTTTAAATCATGTCATTAGAATATTTGGGAAATCTAAAACTTTTGAAAGGATGGCATGCTCTGTAGTCTATTTTATACTTCCTATTAGACCTACATCTTGTTGGGACTCTCCTTCCAAGTAAAACAGAATTACAGAGAGAGCCCTGGTTGCAGGACCGTTACTCTAAACGTGAGGAGATTTGGGCATAAGTTTATTTGGCACTACTGTGTGGCATCTGAAAAAAAGGTGGACTAGTTTGGAAGGATCTAGACTAGTCAAAATGCTACCACAAAAATCTCAGTATAAGGTGATAGTACCTTAGATTATAATCTGTCTCTCCCAACTTGATATGAAATGAGATGGTATAAAGTGCTGATCCACGTCCTCCAAACAGACCTGCCCTTTGGATATATCTTATGACTCTTCTTGTTGCCCTATTGGTTTACCCCATTTGCTGTGAGTCCTTTCACATCTACCTTGTCAGTCAGTCATCCAGCATCCTTTGTCTTCCAACCATTGCTCCATGTTTATATTTTATCTCTAGATCCAGTTTTGAACGAAATCTTATAAAGTAGCAAAGATCAAAGGTGCTTGTGTTTTTGTCAGTTTACTTCCCCCTTTCCTGACCACTGCTGTGTGTGTGTGTGTTTTCCAAACCAAAAGAATAAGGAAAAACAGTACATTTGGAATTATTTTCATCTATCCTTGAAGCTAACATCTATGCCACAATGAAATGCTTGTGTATAAGTCACATTCCATATTTTATGTAGGAAGATGTACAAAATTTGGTTAATTCTGCCTCTTTTTAGAAGAAGTCTGGAAGGTCAATGATCTGATAGAGAGAGTCCAGGAAAATGAAGACAAACATTCAAGACAGACTGAATTCATCAACACCAAAACCCTGATTGAAGAGAGAGGTAATGTTCTTGGTAAGACTTTTAATGTGGAAACAAACCCTGTTCCTTCAAGAAAAATATCCTATAGATGTGACTCATGTGAAAAGAGTTTAAAATCTATTTCAGAATATATTAGTAGTGATGGAAGCTATGCAAGATTGAAACCTGATGAATGTAGTGCATGTGGGAAATCACTTCTCCATGTTAAGCTTGAGAAAACTCATCCTGGAGATAAATCTTATGAATTTAATCAAAATGGGGAAGCTTATACTCTAAATGAAGAAAGTATTTATCAGAACATTCATATTTTGGAGAAACCCTTTGAATATATTGAATGCCAGAAAGCCTTTCAAAAGGATCCAGTTTTTGTTAATCATATGGAGGAGAAGCCCTATAAGTGGAATGAATCTGAAATAGCCTTTCTCCAAATGTCAAACCTAAGTGTACACCAGAGATCTCCTGTGGAATTGAAGCCCTATGAATGCAATGCGTGTGGGAAATCCTTCTGTAAAAAGTCAAAATTTATTATACATCAGAGGACTCATACAGGAGAGAAACCTTATGAATGTAATCAATGTGGGAAATCCTTCTGCCAGAAGGGAACCCTCACTGTACATCAGAGGACACATACAGGGGAGAAGCCCTATGAATGTAACGAATGTGGGAAAACCTTCTACCAGAAGTTACACCTCATTCAGCATCAGAGAACTCACTCAGGAGAGAAGCCCTATGAATGTAGTTATTGTGGAAAATCCTTTTGCCAGAAGACACACCTCACACAACACCAGAGAACACATTCAGGAGAGAGACCTTATATTTGTCATGACTGTGGAAAAACCTTCTCCCAGAAGTCAGCACTCAATGACCATCAGAAAATTCACACAGGTGTGAAACTCTATAAGTGTAATGAGTGTGGGAAATGCTTCTGCCGCAAGTCTACTCTCACTACACATCAGAGGACACATACAGGAGAGAAACCCTATGAATGTAATGAATGTGGAAAGTTTTTCTCTAGGTTATCATATCTCACTGTACATTATAGAACTCATTCAGGAGAGAAACCTTATGAATGTAATGAATGTGGGAAAACCTTCTACCTGAATTCAGCCCTCATGAGACATCAGAGAGTACACACAGGAGAGAAA